GCGCATGTGGTTGGGTCCTGACCCCCATTCCTTGTCCACCTACCTCCCACACCCACCCCACCCGGGCAGAGAGTCTACTACCTGTCGCTGGAGTTCTACATGGGACGGACGCTTCAAAACACCATGGTGAACCTGGCCCTGGAGAATGCCTGTGACGAGGCCACCTACCAGGTGTGTGTGTGGGGGCCAGTGGGGGAGGGTGGGGAGCCTGGGGTGGAGGGTGGGGAGAGTGGAGCCCAGGGGAGCAGGAAAGGACTGGGGACACCCTGCTGGCTGACAGGCGCTCTGCCCTGACCCATGCCATCCCGCTCCCTCTAGCTGGGCCTGGACATGGAAGAGCTGGAGGAAATCGAGGAGGACGCGGGGCTGGGCAATGGGGGCCTGGGCCGGCTGGCAGGTAAGTGGACTTGGGGCTTCTTGGGGCTCCTTCTTTCTCGCTGGCCCCTGACACCCCCCCCCTCTTGCCACGCCCCCAGCCTGCTTTCTGGACTCCATGGCGACGCTGGGCCTAGCTGCTTACGGCTACGGGATCCGCTATGAGTTTGGGATTTTTAACCAGAAGATCTCCGGGGGCTGGCAGGTGAGGAATGTGGATCCTGGACTCTGGGGGTGGGGGGTGGCTGATGGAAGGGGCGGGACCCATGGGGCTCTCTAGAGCCAGCCTCTTGCTTTGGTAGGAGGCATCCTTGCCCTCCCCCTCACCCCAGAGTGGGAGTCCTCACCCACAAACCAGCATCCACCCAGCACCCCCCAGAGCCCTGCTCCTGGGTGCCAGTGCTGACTCCGCCTCCCCCCGCCTCCCCCCCCACCTGCCCCGGGGCTCAGATGGAAGAGGCTGATGACTGGCTTCGCTACGGCAACCCCTGGGAGAAGGCGCGACCCGAGTTCATGCTGCCTGTCCACTTCTACGGCAGAGTGGAGCACACCAGCCAGGGGACCCAGTGGGTGGACACACAGGTGAGAACCCCCCGGAGGAAGGAAGGGTGAGTGAGCGAGGTGCAGGAGACTACTGAGGTTCAGAGAGATTCAGTGACCTGCTCAAGGCCACAGAGTTGGAGAGATGCAGAGCCGAGCCCAGGTGTGGGGGAGAGGCCGCCCTTCCCCAACCTGTGCTCCTCCCTTGACCTTAACTGCCCCCCCCTCCCGCCCCCGCTCCCCACACACACACACCTGCCACCTGGGGGCTCAACAGGAAGCAAAACAGCCCAAAAAGGGGGACAGGGAGAAAGTGAAGGCCCCGAGCGCGGGAGTGATTTGTTCAAAGTCCCATCGCAGGTTCAAGGGTACCTGCCCCGGCTGCACGGCCCAGCTCCTCCAAGTCCTGGCCTTCACAGACCCCCCCAGCAGTTCCAAAGTGGGCATTCGGTTGACCACGCTCAGGCTGGCGTCTGGTAGGACAATTGGCTGCGCACTGTGTGTTCTGGGGGTGCCTCTGAGCTGTAGCTTCCTCTCCGCTCCAGTCCACTCAAGTGATGGGGACAGAAGGAGGTGGCCCAGAGCCGTGGCACCAGGGATGAAGGCCTGCTCACTGGGGGACGTGGGACCACCATTCTCACAGCTAATCAGCCTGGTGGCCACCCCTGGAGCCCCTTCCACCTTGGCTCTCCCAGCTCTTCCATCAGTTCAGCACGCCCCTGGGATGTGCTTGGGCCAGGCCGACCAACCAGCCTCATCACTGATGCCTTTGCCCTTGGTCCTCTGGCAGCCCTGCCGGGCAAGGGTGGGTGCTCAGGAGGGGTCGGGTAACCGGCTCTCTTGATGGATGAGGTGGAGAGAAGTTTAGGGTTTGCTCGTGATGACCCAGCTAGTGAATGCTGGGTGGGCAGAGGGCAGGGACCAAGTTGGCCCCTTGACTGGTGCCCAGCTCCCAACACCACTGCCCGCCTGCAGGTGGTACTGGCCATGCCGTATGACACTCCCGTGCCTGGCTATCGCAACAACATCGTCAACACCATGCGCCTCTGGTCAGCCAAGGCCCCTAATGATTTCAACCTCAAGGACTGTGAGTTTGTTTACCGTCAGCATGAACAGCCCCTGACCCCACCCCCGACCCCCGACCACGCTCAGTGTCTGACTTTGTCCCCACTTGTGTCCCTCAGTTAACGTTGGTGGCTACATCCAGGCTGTGCTGGACCGAAACTTGGCTGAGAACATCTCTCGTGTCCTATACCCCAATGACAATGTACGTCACCCCCTGGGCTGGAAACCTGAGGAGGAGGGTGTGGGGAGGAGGAGGAGGAGAAGGAGAAGGAGGAGGAAGAGAGGTACTCCGTGGGGCCCTGGCCATCGGGCTGGCCCCTTTGTCTGGTTGTGCCCCTGAGTCCCGAGGGAGGCAGGTTAGGATCCAGGTCATTTTGGAGCCCTAGTGGGTAAGTTGGTGGTTTAGACCTCCCAGCCACTCTGAGGGAGAGAGGAGAGGCTGTCTGCTCCCGTAAAGATTTATAACTGCGGAAACTCCGTAGAGGGCCCCTCTGAGCCTGAATCTACTCGATGGCAGTGGATTTGGTTGGGGTTTATTCCCCTGGAGAGGGAGCCCTGGTGTTGTAGTGGGTTAGTCAGTGGGCCGCTAACCTAGAAGCCTAAACCCAGCAGCTGCTCCCAAGGAGAATGATGAGGCTGCCTGCTCCTGTAAAGATGGATAGTTCAGAAACCATAAAGAGCAGTCCTGCTTTGTCCTGCAGGGTCTGGGAGTTGGAAATGACTCCAGGGCTGTGGGTTGGGGTGGTTTTTTTGTTTTGCTTTTGGTGTAGCCCCTGGCTACACTCACACTAAATACACTTGTTTTTTTCTTTATTTTTTTAAATCATTTTATTGGGGGCTCGTACAATTCTTATCACAATCCATCCATCCATTGGGTCAAGCAACATTTAAAAAAAATCATTTTATTGGGGGCTTTTTCTTTCTTTTTTATGATAAAAAAATTTTCCCCCCTTTTTTATGAGTCTTAAAATTTTCTATTAAAACATTTTATCGGGGGCTTTACAACTCTCGTGACAACCCACTCCTCGATTGTATCAGACATGTTGGTACATATGTTGCCGTCATTCTTTTCTAGGCATTGACACTCTACTGAGTCTTTGGGATCAGCTCCTCTTTTTTTCCCCTCCCTCCTCCTCCCCACCCTCATGGCCCCTTGATAGATTATAAATCATTATTATTTTCACATCTCACACCGCCCACTGTCTCCTTTGCCCCACGGTTTCTGTTGTTCTTCCCCCTGGAGGAGGGTGTGTGTGGTTATGTGCCGATCACTTGTTTGTTCCATACCCTCTTCTGACCAAGAAAAGACCACCGGGTCCTTGTGGTTGTCAGGTACCATCCAGTCGGTTCTGAGCCACGGCAGAACCAACCACTGCCCGGTCCGGCACCGCCCTCACAATGGTCCCTCTGCTGGAGCCCACCCACGGTTGCAGCCACTGCGTCCACCCATCTCCTTGAGGGTCCACCCATCTCCTTGAGGGCCTTCCTCATTTTCGCTGCCCCTTCACTCTAGCAAACACTGGGTCCTAGGGTGGGGACAATTCAGGGCTGGGATCTCTTGGCGGGGGTGGGAGTAGCCCGACTGGCATCGGTGTCTCTGCGCTCCCGCCACCCTGACTCAGCCTCGCCTCGTCCCCAGTTCTTTGAAGGGAAGGAGCTGCGGCTGAAGCAGGAGTACTTTGTGGTGGCGGCCACGCTCCAGGACATCATCCGACGCTTCAAGTCCTCGAAGTTCGGCTGCCGAGACCCAGTGCGAACCAGTTTCGATGCCTTCCCTGATAAGGTACTTGTACTGTCCTCCGTGGCAGGCAGGCAGCCTTGAGTTGGTTCTAACGCAGAGCGACCACCTTACGTGCCTGCCATAGAGCGAGAGACTGCCTGGTCGGTCCTGAGCTACCCGCACCGTTGTTGCTCTATGCGAGCCCATGGTCGCAGCCACGTGGCACTTTGTCTCAGGGAGGACCTTCCTCTTTCCCACTGACCTTCCACTTGACCAAGCACACGGTCCCTCTGCAGGGACTGGTCTCTCTGATCACATGTCCTAAGTCTGTGGGCCGAGGTCTTCCCGTCCTCGATGCCCAGGTGAATTCTGGCTGGACTCTTTCCAGCACCGATTGGTTCTTTCTTCTGGCTGCCCAGGGGACTTTGGCTATTTTTCGCCAGCGCAGCAGTTTCAAATGCGTGACTGCTTCTGCTTTCTTCCTGATTCATCGTCCGGCTCTCACGGGCACAGGAGATGGCTCGAAATGCCAAATGCCGTGGTCTGGGTCAGGTGCGCCCGCGTCCCCAATGCGACATCTTTGCCCTTTAGCACTGAAAGAAAAAAGACCCCTTGCAGCGGATTGGCCCAGTGTCAGGTGCCCTAGGCGTTCTTGCCGGCTGCTTCCGTGGAGCGGTGATGGGGGAAAGGAAGCCCTTCTTGTCGGCTCCACTGACCACGGTGTCCTTGGCCGGCCCGGAGGTGAGGGTTCGGTTTTCTCTGTGTGGAGCTGTCATCCACGCAGAAGGCTGCCGCTTGGATCTTTGTCCCCAAGTGCTGCGGGTCCTGTTTGCCTCCAGCCGGCAAGGTTGTGTCACCTGCATCGTGCAGGTGGTGCAGGAGTCTCCCCTCCCATCCTGCCGCCGCCGCCACCGCCTTCTTGTTCACTGTGTCCCGACTTCTCCCCCAAGGCCTCAGCCTGTCCTGCCTGACAGGACACCTGCCCTAATTTTGTACAAGGTTTCCTGGGGACAGGAGTGACTTGCCCAAGACTCTCGATGAACAGACGCAGCCTGGGTGACCCCTTCCCTCCGCTGGCCCCTGGAGAATCTCCAACCCAACTCAGCCGCAGAATCAGGCAGCGCCCTTTGGGGGGCTCTGAAGCGCCATGACCGTGCCCACGGGAGCTAGGTCTGCAGCCCAGCCTGACTTCCAGCTGGTCCCCCCTCCCCACAGGTGGCCATCCAGCTCAATGACACCCACCCGTCCTTGGCCATCCCCGAGCTGATGAGGATTCTGGTGGACGTGGAGCGGCTGGACTGGGACAAGGTGGGCTCCCTGTCCCCTCTGTCGTGGGGACCCTTCCTGCCGTGGGATGGATAGGCATGCCAGTCCCCTCCCACTTTGGGGAGATGGCAGTGGTGCCCCGCTGAACTCTGGGACGCTGAGGCCCAGGGGCTTGGGCCGGGAGGTTTTAAACCCCATGTCCTTTAGGCATGGGAAGTGACCGTGAAGACCTGCGCCTATACCAACCACACGGTGCTGCCCGAGGCGCTGGAGCGCTGGCCCGTGCACCTGATGGAGACGCTGCTGCCCAGGCACCTGCAGATCATCTATGAGATCAACCAGCGCTTCCTGAACGTGAGCCAGACAGGTGGAGGGGGGAGGCTGCCTGCCCCGAGGCTGGGGCACCGGGGCCAGGGGTAGAGCCCTGCAGGCCGGCTCTTGGATCCTAGCCCCAGCCTGTGTTCCCCGATACAGCGGGTGGCAGCCGCGTTCCCAGGGGACGTCGACCGGCTGCGGCGCATGTCGCTGGTGGAGGAGGGCGCAGTGAAGCGCATCAACATGGCACACCTGTGCATCGCCGGCTCGCACGCCGTCAACGGCGTGGCTCGCATCCACTCGGACATCCTCAAGAAGACCATGTAAGCCCCGCCCAGGCCCCGCCCCGCCCACCAGGCCCCGCCCACTCACCCAGATCCGGGCGGTGCGGAGATCTCCCACCAGAGGCATCGCCCTTGCGAGCGCATAGGCGGTCCAGGAGAGTCCTTCCCCCGGGTGGCACCCCTCTTACACACTGCAGACACCCCCTTCCTCCGCTCCCCTCCCCACTTCCAGACCCTTTTCAGCGGAGGTGAGGGAGAATGCCTTCTGCCCCCATCACTGACCCTTCCCACTGCCCCCGCAGCTTCAAGGAGTTCTACGAGCTGGAGCCGCATAAGTTCCAGAACAAGACCAACGGCATCACCCCTCGGCGCTGGCTGGTCCTTTGTAACCCCGGCCTGGCCGAGGTCATTGCCGAGGTGAGAGCTCACTGCATGGCCAGCAGGGTGGACACGGGGTCCTGTCAGGGATCGGCGGGGCCTGGGAGTCTAGGTTGTGCTCTTCCAAGGACGCCCAGCCGAGGGCAGAGCCATCTCCTAACTCTTGCAAGTCTTGCGCGCGGGAGGGGGCCCTGTGGGCCAAGGGAGACTCTGACTGTGAAGGCTAGCGTGGGTGGGGGCCCATGGTCGTCTAGTGGACACAGCTGAGGGGACAGAGAACCGATGGAAGAGGCCTCAGGTCATTGGCAGGAAGACCTGCTTGGGGTCAAGTGGGGTCAGCCGTCAGAACTCATGGCAGGAGACAGCTAGGTGTTTGGAGAGGGAGGGTGGGAGGACTTTGTGGGCAGGCCGCTGGGTTGGCCCCCAAAAGTGTTGGGAGGAAGGAGGGAGGGGCCGGTGATCCCGACTGAGGATGTCTTCCTTGTGTTAGCGCATCGGGGAGGACTACATCTCTGACCTGGACCAGCTGCGTAAGCTGCTCTCCTATGTGGACGACGAGGCCTTTATCCGGGACGTGGCCAAAGTCAAGCAGGTGGGGAGGACTGAGCCTGGGACACCTGGGTCAGGGCTGGAGCCCGAGGTAGGGCCAGAGCTCTGAGTGAGGGATAGCAAATTGAGCTGCGCTCCGCTGCTGGCCCCAGGCCATTGGGTGAAGTCCCAGGGGCCCGGCATGCTGGGACCACCCCAGAAGAGTGCGGATATGGATTAGTAATGTCTGCCCTGGTGTAGGCATGGCGAAAGCCCTGCCTCCCTGGCTCTGGCCGATGGAGAGAATGAGGGCAGTGAGTGACGTTTCCTGAATCCTCTTGGTGAGCCCCTCTCCCTTTCCAGGAAAACAAGCTGAAGTTCTCGGCATACCTGGAGAAGGAATACAAAGTCCAGATCAACCCCAACTCGCTCTTCGATGTCCAGGTGAAGCGGATTCATGAATATAAACGCCAGCTCCTTAACTGCCTTCACATCATCACACTGTACAACCGTGAGTGCCGGGACCCTGGCCCTGCCCTCAGGTCCTCCCTCCACGGGTCACCCAGGGCATCGATGCCTCCTTGGGCCTCTGGCACGGGACATGAAGTTATCCTCATTTCACCGATGGGCAAACTGAGGTTCCGAGAGGCGGGAATGGTCCATCCAAGGTCAAGGTCACACAGCACCTCACGCCCCACCCCACAGGCAGGGAAGGACCCCTCAGGAGCTACTGCCCAGAGGGTACAAGCTGCCCCACTTGAGCCCTCTTTCATCCACAGGCATCAAGAAGGAGCCCAATAAGTATTTTGTGCCTCGCACCGTGATGATTGGCGGGAAGGTGAGAGCTTGGGGCACAATCACGGCTCTCTTCCTTGGATACTCGGGTTGAGTTCAGCTCGGCTGGGGCCCAGGACACAGGGTCAATGTTGGGGCAGGGGTGCTGACCCCGGATTGTGTCCTACAGGCTGCTCCTGGGTACCACATGGCCAAGATGATCATCAAACTCATCACGGCCATTGGAGATGTGGTCAACCACGACCCGGTGGTGGGAGACCGCCTTCGAGTGATCTTCCTGGAGAACTACCGGGTCTCCTTGGCTGAGAAAGGTGGGGGTGCCAACAGTGAGCTTTGGGGGGGTTAGTTCAGTCCCAGGAAGAGATTGGTCACCTCCCTCTTTGGGGGAGCTTGTGCCTTGAGGAAGAATCTGGAGAGGGCAGTGAGTTGTGAGGATCGAGGTCCATCCCACGGGGCAATCCCCAGGGCTCTGCTCTTGCTGGACTTTCCGGCAGTCCAGGGTGAAGTGAGAACGCTGGCACCCTTTAAACCACACTACCAACTCGGGGCAGGATTCGAGGCTGGGTCTCCGATGTTTAAGAATGCCCAAGCACTGGGGTATGGTAGGGTGGAGGCTCAGTTGGTGAGGACCGGAGGGTTGGAGGAGGATCGGAATCTTCCTCGGCTTGGGGCCAGCCTAACCTCCAAGTCCCAGCTGCGGTGGGGCATCTCCCTGAACGGATGGTCCTCTCCCTGCAGTGATCCCGGCCTCTGACCTCTCCGAGCAGATCTCCACCGCGGGCACGGAGGCTTCGGGCACTGGCAACATGAAGTTTATGCTCAACGGGGCTCTGACCATTGGCACCATGGACGGGGCCAACGTGGAGATGGCAGAAGAGGCGGGCGAGGAGAACTTCTTCATCTTTGGCATGCGGGTGGAGGATGTGGACAAGCTTGACCAGACAGGGTATGGTGGTCTCAGGCTCCTCCTCTGTTCAGGGGCTGGGTGGGCAGGAGTTGTGGCAACGTGCTTGCAAAGGCTGACCCAGGCCAGCACACTCATTCCCTCGCTTGCGTCCAGCGGATCCCCTCAGACCCGTAGTGACCCGAGAGGACAGAGTAGAACTGCCCTAGTGGGTGTCTGAGACAGCGAATCTTAATAGGAGGAGAAAGCTTCATCTTTCCCTCTCAGAGCAGCTGGTGGTTTCAAACCCTTGCCCTTGCGTTAGCAGCCCACTGGGTAACCCACTACGCCACAGGGCTCCATCGGGGAGCACAGGTGGTAGTGATTCTGGCCATCCTAACAACTAAGGGTAGCGAAATGGAAAAAGAAAGAAGTCGTCCAGGGCTGAAGGAGGAGGTAGAGAAAATGATGTCAACCCCCAATGAGAAGGTTGTTTCTGGAACTGGAAGCAAAATGAACAGCCTGAGCTCCCTGGGACCCTGGGTGGGGGGGGGGGCGAGGAAAACCAGAGGACAGTAGTGACAACAACAGGGGCGCCCTGGTGCTGGAGTGGTTATGCTCTGGGCTGCTAACTGGGAGGCCAGCAGTTCAAAACCACCAGGTGCTCCACGGGAGAGAGACAGGGATTTCTACTCCTGTCAGAAGTTACCATCTTGGAGACCCACAGGGACGGTTCTACTCTGTCCTGCAGGGTGGCTGTGCGTCAAGCTGTACAATTGTGCTCGTGGTCAGAAAACCGCTCTTCGGAGGGGTTTATTTGCCTGGCATTTCAGTTTTTGATTTTTTACAAAATTTAAAATGTGATTCTTTTCCTTATAAAAAGTATGCGGACTAGTTTGTGAGAATAACGAAACACCTTACAGAGATGGAAATAACTGTCACCCGTATGTCCCACGGTCCAGCTAGAAGACCATAGTCCTCTGTTCCTACCTCGGAGACCTGGCTCGATTTCTGGCCAGCATTCCTCACGGCAGCCGCCACCTGCCGCCTGGAGGCTTGTGCGTTGTTATGATACCGATTGGGCTTTAGTGGAGACGTTGCGCTAGGAAGAAAGGCCTGGCGATCAGCCTCTGCGGACCCTCTGGATCACATGGTTGCATCCCATTGGGCCCGAGGTTGCCATGACGGCAGCCAACAACAACAACAACAGCAACAACATGGCTTTGAAAAATTAGGCACAAGGTTCTGTGTCATTTTGGATCATGGTTTATCTCACTGAGCAGTGGAGGAGGTTTCCTGTATGTCATTCATCATCAAACTATTTTGTTTTTAAACTTTTTTATTGTGAATAACTTCCCCTTTCCTCCCTTCCTCTGCCGTCCCTTTGATGGTAAGCATCAAAGTCTGTTTCTTTTGGTACGAAAGCTTTCACAAGATTTGACATGTTTCCGTAACATTCCATCTCAGGAACTTGCCCTGGCTGCTTTATCTAGTTCCATATGGTTAGACACTCAGGGCCGTTTCCCCCCTTGGTAACTGGAAAGATCATTGTGGTATGTGACCTGCTGCATGGCGGACCACGTGTTTCCTGAAGATAGTTGTGAGAAGGAATCTTTTGGAGACCTTCGAGAGTGTGGCGTGTCGGGGGCTCTGGACGCGTATCACCAAGGAGCTTTCCGAGAGGGTTGGTCGCTAGGTCTTAGGCGAGCCGGCGTCGAGTCCTGCAAGCGGTGGTTTCTTCTGGGAGACTTGACCAGAAAGTTCCAACTTCCTCCTTTGCGGTGATGGGAAGGAATCATGTGATGTTGTGAAGGAGGTTCGTGCCACGTTCAGAGATAGAACTCAAAAACAGCACCATTCCAGCTGCTGGGGAGAGATGGGACTTGAAGGGGGCAAAAGGGGAGGAGGTGGGGCACCAGGGTGGGAGAGGCAGTGCTGGGAGCCTGGGAGTCTGGTTGGGGAGTGAGGGCAGGAGATGGGTGTGGAGGGCAGTGAACTGAGTTAACCGAGAACATGGCGGTGATGGCTCTGACAGTGGAACTCTCGGTAATGGGCTCAGATGGACAATCTGAGCCTGAAGGCCATTCCTGAGAACGTAGCTGTTGGCTTTTCCTGCAGCCCGAGGGGGAGGCTGGGCCTGGGCTGGGCCTGCTGTTGGTGGCAGTTCCCTTTGAGTTGGTGCATTCTCATGGCAACCCCGTGTACAGCAGAACCGGACACTGGTGGGTCCTGGGCCATCTTCACCGTCTTTGACTTGCCCCAGTTCATCGTGCGGAGTCTGAGTGCCTCCCAACAAGGTAGCGGGCACTAGTCAGTTGAGATTCATAGCGTTTCCACTAGCGAATCTTTGGCAGTAGTTTGGAAGTGACCTGAAGCCTGTCCTCCACGGGTAACCCTTCTGGAGTTTGAAATGCCAGTGGCCTAATGATATAAACTCGCAGCTCACCGCTCTCTAGATGATTTCGACTCACACTGGCCCTAAGGTAGAACGGGCCCTCTGGGTGTCCCGGGATCTAAATCTCTATGGAGGTAGGAAGCCTCATCTTTCAAGATTCTGACTTTGTGGCGCCCAGACCAACATGGAATCTGAGAGGCCACCGGTGTGATGTAGTTGTTAGCTTCCGACGAGTCGGCTCCGACCCTTGGTGACCCAGTGCACAACAGAACGAAACGCTGCCCGTCCCGTGCTGTCCTCACACTTGTTCCCGGGCCTGTGCCCATTGTTGCAGCCGGGTGTCAGCCATCTGGTGGAGGGTCTGCCCCTCGGCTTTACCAAACATGATGTCCTTCTCCAGGGACTGGTCTCTCCTGACTCCGTCCAAAGTACACCATTCGGAGTCTCAGCATCCTTGCCTCTAAGGAGCCTGGTAGCTGTACTTCTGAGACAGATGAGTTTCTCCTTCCGTCCATCTGTGCTCCTTTCAGTATCCTTCCCCTGCACCGACATTCAAACACATCGATTCTTCTTCAGCCACCCTTAGTCAAGGCCCAACTTTCACATGCGTAGGAGGCGATGGACAGACAATACCATGGGTTGGGCCAGCCCCCCCCACTTAGTCCTCAAAGTAACATCCTTGCTTTTTAACACTCTCGAGGTCTTGTGCAGCAGATTGACCCGATGCAATGGTTGTTTGGGCTCTTGACGATTGTTTCCCTGTGCATCGACTGTGGATCTAAGCAAGATGAAATCCTCAACGACCTCGACTTTTCCTCTATTTACCATGGTGTTATCTACTGCTATCATGGGCACGTGGGCGGAAGGGGGTGGTGCATTCATGGGGCAAACAAACCGGTTGGGAGACAGGGGTTGTGGTGATGACAGGAACCCAGGGAGAAGCACTTGCTTTGGCCTTTTGACTCTGACATGAACTTTTCTGTCCCGGTAACATCAACTTCCTCATCCACAAAGTGGGGAGTGACAAGCCAGGCAGAAATGGGAGGCTGCTCCAAGAAGGTCAGGGAAGGTCCCCAGAGGGAACAGGGCAGCTCCCGGGAGCCCAGCAGCAGGCTGAACCCAAGCCAACGCCACTGCCATTGAGTCCGACCCACAGTGACCCCTCTAGGGCAGGACAGCATTGGGCCACCCAAGGCGGTCCACGTTTTGGAAGCAGACGACCGGCCACATCGTTCTCCTGACGGGCGGCTGGTGGGTTTGAACTGCTGATCTTGGGGTCAGCAGCCAAGTGTTTGAACCTCAGCAACACCAGGGCTTGCTTCTTCAGGAGGCTGGAGGTGCCTCCCTTGTCTTGAAGGGGAGCCAGGACCCCCTTCCCGTGGTGTGGTGCTGAGCCCAGCTCTGGCCCCGCAGGTACAATGCTCAGGAGTACTATGACCGCATTCCCGAGCTCCGGCAGGTAATTGAGCAGCTGAGCAGCGGCTTCTTCTCCCCCAAACAGCCGGACCTGTTCAAGGACATCGTCAACATGCTCATGCACCATGACCGGTGAGTGCTGCCGGTCCTGGCAGGCAGTGGCGGTGAGCAGGGCACCAGGGAGTGGCCTGGGCATCTGGGACAGGCTCTGGTGGAAGCAAACGCCCTCTCCAGGTCCCCAGCAGTCGGCGTGGGCCATCTGCTTAGTTTTCTCTGGGATCCCTGCCTCTCTATCACCCTCCAGGTTCAAAGTCTTTGCGGATTACGAAGCCTACATTAAGTGCCAGGAGAAAGTCAGTGCGCTGTACAAGGTGAGGGGCCTGGGCTGGTGGGTTTGGGTGGCCCTGGGGAGGCTGGAGGAAGCCCTCCCCCCTTCCCCGCCTCTGCTGGGCGTTGAACCCAGAGCTCCTTCTTGGCCCACAGAACCCTAGAGAATGGACAAGGATGGTGATTCGGAACATAGCCACCTCCGGGAAGTTCTCCAGCGACCGCACCATCACCCAGTATGCCAGGGAGATCTGGGGGATCGAACCTTCTCGCCAGCGCCTGCCGGCCCCTGATGAGGCCATCTGAGCACCCCTCCCCCTTCCCTACCCCACCCCAGTTGGTGGCTCCAGCTCCTTGTTCAGAGGGTGGTGGCCTGACTCTTAACCTTCTTCCCGGAACCCCCCCCTCCCTTCACTGAGGCCTCAGTGGCCTCCATCCCGCCCTTGGGCGCAGCCCCCCTGTTTATGGGGTCTGCCCAACGGCACCCACTCCCCAATAAAACAATTCTCCCGAGCCTCCAGACTCCTCTCTCCGCTGGGAAATATTTTTAGCTCTTGGCGGGCACAGCAGCTGCGCAGTCACCCCCTCACCCCCCACCCTCAGCAGGTGTGCCCCTTCGGAGGGGGAGGGCATCCCGGGGGAGGGGCCTGGGCGTGGGCCGCCGTCACCCTCCACGCGTCTCCCCAGGGCTGTGTCCATACTAGGTCAGCCGGCCGGCTCGGCTGGCCGGGGGCGGGGCGTGCGTCGGGGTGGGGCCCGCCGGGATGGGCCTCGGGACCTTTTGCATGCGCTCCGAGCAGACCCCGGGCGGGGGGAGGAGCCTACGGCAGCCCGGCCCCTTCTTGGCCCCGCCCCGGTCCCGCCCACTGCGGCGTTTGAGGGTCTCTTAGCAGGTGGCTCAGCTCAGCTCGACCAGAAGTCGGGGTGCGTGAGGGCCGGGGACCCCCAGGCCGTCCACACTCGACCAGTGACGTGTCTTCCCGACTTGGGGGTGCGGAGGGCCGGAAAGTCTCGGCTGGGGGTTGGGGCAGGGAGGGGCCAACCCCGAAGGGAGGTTTGGGGTCAGTGGTTTCACAGCGAGCGTGTTTGAACCCAAACGACAGGAAATGGTTACCAGCTCCCCGAAACCTAGCTGGTGGGGACCCCAACCGCCTGTGGTTGCCCCGCCTGGGTTCCTCCCACTGGGGGCTCAGGCACCTCATCTCCAAGCTGCGGAAACTGCCCTCTCCACCTGGTCCTGGGGGCCCGGCTTCCGGAGGCCCCGTGTCTGCGGTGTGAGCTGAGTCCTCCAGCTGCCCCAGACACCCAGGCTCGGTCTCGGCAGCCGCATTGCCGGTGGCCATCAGGCCCAGCCTACAGGCCCCTCGCCCCCAAAGCTTCCATCTTGTCCTAGCCCTGCCCCCCGCCCCCCGTGCAAGGACCTGCCGCCCTGGGCCCCCACCGCGGCCAGGCTGGGCCCCCACGGTCCGCAGGAAGCCGTCCGCCCCGGGCCGGTGAGCCCCGTGGGAACGGTTTGTCACGAAAACAGGAACCCGGGACGGGGGGCTGGGCGGGGCGCCCCTTGCCCACCGCAGTCCGCTTCCTGCCCCTCCCGCTTCCTCCGAGCGACACCCAGGCGGGGCCGGGGGCGGCAGGGAGGGGAGC